CTTGCTTGCTTGCTTGCTTGCTTGCTTGCTTGCTTGCTTGCTTGCTTGCTTGCTTGCTTGCTTGCTTGCTTGCTTCCTCCCTCCCTCCCTCCCTCTCTCCCTTCCTTCCTTCCTTTCTTTCTTGTTCATTTCAGTACGCTTTTGACAGGCTCCGCAATGCATGTTTGCACCTTGTTGCTTTCTTCTCTGTTACCAATGTCTACAGGCCTTACTTACGTACCTCTGTTATGAGTTTGTGTGACACAAGTCGACGTTGTCATTATCTATTCCATTAATACGACAGTTATAGTTCGTAATAACTACCCTACCAGTTCTATTATTCCTTCTAATCTACATCTCAAGGCACAGCAAATACTGATTATTTTCCCTAGCCATCACAAGCAAACATGGAGTAGTTGTAGAATGATTTTAAAACATATAAAGTAATATAATAATGTGTATATAATGAGGTTTATAGGTGCATACTGTATAACATCGTTATGAGCCACGTTATAGGTGTATATGAGGTTATTGGTGCATATAACATGGTTATGATACCTTCTTCAGCTTCTTCCTGTAGCTCTAGCTCTTCCTCAAGCTTCCTCTGCTTTTCTTCTTCGAGGTATGCTTTGTATGCACGATATCTTGCAGGTAATGAGCTCCAGAATGATATGGAGGAACGAACAATTTTGAAAGGCAGCAGATCAAAGAATGTTGGTCTGGAAACCCCAGTTTCATGAACTAAAAACAAAAACAAACAAAAAACAATAATTGTTTAGACTTTATCCCGAACTTTGCTCAATACTAATGTGTGCATGATGTTTCAAATACTGGCTATTATGACTTCAGGCATATACAAGTTTAGTATGATCCTATTGCATGGCTTTTGCATAGTTCAATCCAGAACTCACCTAAGATATCAGCCAATTCTGTGATGTCATCATCAGTAATATCAACTTTAGCTTTCCTCTTCTTTTTGTCATCTCTCTTCTTTTTAGAGGATATTAACTCTTCCTAAAATCAAAGCTATGTAAGAAAATACTTTCTCTGCTTTGATATAGCAGTCCATAATAAAAGCTAGACATACTAACAATAATTACAAGATTTTTTTGTCCTTTTTTTTGTTTTTGTTTTGTTTTTGTTTTTTTGTTTTTGTTAATTGTATTTAAATTGGATAGGGAAATAAAGGAAAATGTCAAAACTCACACTCAGCATTGTCAATAAATAGTTGGTGCATGCACTGACATCTGGCTATGTATATATTCAACATTACATCCACCTAATAGGTGCATGTGCATGAGCATGGGTGTGACAGTGTGTATCGGGAGAGAGGAGGAGAGTTAAAGGGGTTTATCATTTGCATTTCTACAGAGCAAGCAAACAAAAGGAAAAACAAATGAAGTCTCTCTTTGGCTCAGGTTTATTTGTCTCTGTTACTTTACAAATCCAACCTCATTTTGTAATGAAAGGAAACTTGAAAAAACTTGATGCATGATATTTAAGAGGACATGAAGGTACCAGGCGTAGATAAATGTACCTACCATTTCAAATTTCTTTTCCAGGTATATTGACCATATGACAATAAAGTGTCCAATTGTGAGAATAAAAAACAAAAGGATAAAAAATTCAATAAATCCCATTTTGCGCACACGTCGATAGTAAAACACAGGCTGCCTCCAGTCAGGTAAGCCATCACGTAATATGGCGTCATATCTGCATTAGACAAACACAACAGAAGATGGTTTGAGTAAACACATTTAATATTATTTCTATAAAGAAAAGCGTACGAAAAGCATGGATTTTTTATCTATCACTGACTATTATTAATAATAAAATTTGAACCAAAAGCTATGAAATTAGATCTATTTTTAAACTGACCAAACTATTCTGAGTCTTAATTACTTGAACATAATTTAAAATGCATAGGTTAAAAAAAATATTTTGATTGATTTATGGTCATATTACTATTAACACTTGCCTTTTTCGCTTGTCTTCATCCTTCAGCACTTCTGCAACTGCAACTAACTAATGATTTTAAAAGAAAATCAGGCATGTTGAGAAATGACTGTAAATATGTAAATATACTGATAATCAAATCTCCATAAAATGTTTAAAAAAGCTACATTCAAAATTTGCCTTACTATCATTCAATAAATTACTAGCAGATATCTGCTGTTATTCAATTTCCTTTTCAGCAAAATTCTTTTCTTTTCTTTCAAGTTCTTTGGTTATTTTAAAAAATAACCAAAGTTCATATGTGTTTTCTTCTTTTCCATTTTGTACCATAATTTGAAAAAAAATCCTTGCAAATTATCTTTCCTTACCCTTCTAAACTTAAATTCTGCATCAGGTTCCTTGTTTTTGTCAGGATGTAATTGTAGTGATAGTCGTCGATATGCTTTTCTTATATCTGATGTTTTTACTGTCTATAAATTTGACAAAGTAAATTCATTAGGCATGTTCCCTGCTAGCAGAACCTATTTTTCTTTTGTTTTGGTGAAGTGAGAAAAATAGACTCTGCCGATGTAGGACGGTATACTTGTCATGCCGGCGTGGCGTAACTTAGCAATGCTGTCATGACTTTGACAGCCGTTCTTATCAAACAATGTTTGGTGCCACTGTGTGATACATTTGTTCATGCACACTACATTTACCCAGTTAAAAACCTGTTTTAAAACTGGTTTCGTTTGTCCACGATCGTGTACGGCGGTGTAACAAAGGAAACACTCTACGTAGAGTCTCCTTCCTCCCCGCCTAAAAGAAGGGAGAGAAAGAGGAGAGACTCTGCTAGCAGGGAATTAGGCATGTTACCCTTAAATTAACATGCAATTGGGGATTAAACAATACAGCAAATTTGTAGCTGTACTCTAGGCATACCATAATATTACCATAGCTGTAAACTTTGCATTGTGATTAGATAAATTAGTGCAAGACAATGGGAAGCCATTTCAATGTTACAGTATGTTGCAASGTTTATGTGTTAGCTGTAAGTCAGTACCAAATGCTTTCCACTCATATGAAAACAATCTCATAGCCAGCAGCTAACAAACCTGTGGCTCTCAATTCCTAATCAAATTGGAATTTTTAAGTTGATTTTTTTTGTGGATAGAGGAAAATTAGGGAACCCCTTGAAGAACGGGAAAGAACCAACAACCAACTCTACTCACAATTGACAATGCAATGCAGTGTAAAACACAAAAATTGCACACAAAAAAGAGAAATTTGGAAAACCATGGTTTAAATTAAGGGCTGGAAGCTTATGATGATTAAAATATCAGTTATTCGATTAATCATAATTTGTTGATCTGAAGATCTAACCTATTGATTGATTTCCTCCAAAACTAGATAGCTATACTAACTAAAAAATATTCTCAGCAAACTTCCCCCTCCCCTCCCTGGTATTAACGATTGGCCGGTTGAATTATAAATCAAAAAGAACATGAAAGGGGAATTCCGCTTATTATTAGTCCCGTATTTCATAAGATTAGGTATCAATAAATTCCATTAATCAGCAAAACTTATAGGCTTCAAGAATATTGAAGGAATTGAGCCCAAAGACAAAATCACACTAAAAACACTTTAAAATGATCAAAATCAAAGTAGGTCCGTGAAAAGATTTCAGGGTTGACGTGTCGATACTACGCGCTTTACTTACCGGTTCTACGCCAAGAAGAGTGTAAAAATTATCTTTATACTCCTCTACGATGTCAAACAACTCGAGATCAACCTGATCCCAACATCTTACTAGAACAAAAATATTTATAAAAAAGAAAATTAAAAGAAATTTGGCAGAAGACGATTTAGCCGCCATCTTGGAATTTGGATTTGATACTGAGTGACCAGGCCGGTGGTTTATTTTGGAAACCGCTGACCTGGTGAGTCCATTCCTGGGAAGTCCATTCCTTTTTATTTTGTTTTTTAATATTTATAAATAATAATAAATAATAGTTTATTAAATATATAATTACTATACCAAGCATGCCATTCTTTCTATTTTTCTGCCAAAGTCATTTAAATGTATAAGAACTAATTTTTAGTGGATTTCGCAAATCGAGCCCCAGAAAGAAATCAGGAAGCCCACACTTTTGGCGCCAAATTGGGCGCGCGCGCGTTAGTAAAATACGTCATATTACGTCATAATAGACAAGATGTAAAGTTTTGCACATTTTTCTCACGCGTCTCCTGGTGTGCGGAGTGAAAAAAAATTGCTCGAAATTTGTAAAAAGAAAAAACAATTTAAGCTTTGGAAGGTGAGGAAATAAGGTTTTCATTAGTATTCGTAGAATTTTGGYGAGCGTTAAAGGATTTTTTTTAACGTCGTGCGATTTAAAAAGCAATAAAAAGCGCAGCTAAAAATTTTATGTTCAACATTGGCTCACATTTTGACTTGATTCTCAGAGACTTTGAAATCATTTTTTAACTGCATTTTAATGCTACAAGGGGATTTGTTACATGCACTGAAACGACGAAAGAGTAAAGATTTAAAGATTTAAAGATTTTTGAGAAATATTTTCCGTGCAATTTATTTAGGAAGCTGAAAAAAAGAGCACTTTTGCAAGGAAGTCACAATATCTGAAGGTAAAATAATGCTTTTAGATTTTGATATTTTTACCATGAACAGAGTTTTCAGGAATGTTAATATGTACTGCGTTAAATATATTACTGATGGCCATGGCTTATTGTTTGTTTGTTCTCGGCGGTGCCTTAACAAATATATGACTATTTGACTAAATGTTTCAGTTCGTCGTCCGACCTTCCCACAGTTTAATATATTAGTCAATAGGAATGATAAAACTTACTGTAGTTGTGTATCTCTCTGTATAATTATTTTCCAGTCTACCCTCCTACTCATACTGACTTTACTAGATTAATTTTACTTCGCCCGTGAAATGATAGTCAACGTATAAATAGTCAAATCCAACTAGTGGTCTGTCATCAATGCTGCGTTCTGATTGGGTGAGCTATTACTTACTAGGTTATTTAAAGTTATAGCTACTAGTCACGTTATAATGGATTGTAACCAATAATATGCTTGTAGTTTTGGACAGTGAACAAAGATTTGATTTATAGCAGAGTATAGCCAGTGAATTTTTGAGAACATAGATTCGTCGCGGAATTTAAAAAGATGTAACGATTTATTATTATTGTTATTATTATTATTATTTATTTATTTATTTATATTTATTTATTTATTTATTTATTTATTT